CTTCAATAAAAACAAATATATATATATATATATATATAGATAAAATCATTATAGATTCCATCAAATCACTCAATTGCGTGTGGTTAAATCACCAAAGGCAATGTTTATACCACCAACATTGGATTCATTGAAAGGCGACCTATCAAGGCCAAAGAGGCGTAAAGCGCCAGAGGAGTTTTGTTGTGAGGATGTTTGGTCCATTTTGGTCCATTGTTTTTGTCACCCGTTGGAAAACACCGTTTCTAAAACAGGATCTATAGTTGGGATCTATGGCCGTTTATGACCTATAGTTGGGATCTTTAGTTGGAATCTATTTTGGACCTAAAAACCGTTTATGGATGTTTATGGTAAACAGGAAATGTATACCTTAAGTTTTGAATCATAGGGTGTGTCTATGTGTGTCTTGTATTTCACAAAAAATACCCTTAACTGACCTGTGAATGTCGAACTCCCAGGTGCCATGGGTGGTTCTCATGGAACAGATCTCAAAGGCGATGGCAGCTTTGGGGCGGAATGTCATGTCACTATCCAGAGGTTATTTAGGAGGAAGCGATTCGGAGCTGTGGGTATCCATATTCAAAAGACAAATAGGGACGCAGTTGGAGCTATGCATTGAGTTTCTAAAACAAGTGATAGATGACTTAGTTTCTAAATAGGATGATTTACTAAATAGGATGATTTACTATCATCAAAAAACGGATCTCGTATGACATTTTGTGCCATTTCTCAAGTCAAAAATTTAATGATTTGGTATGTCTCGGAACGAAGGTCCATGCTCATGGAAGCACATCACAGTACGGTAGGTTGCAGGGCCAACAGGGCAATGACGTAGCGGCTAATTTAGGGTTTTGTAGGCGGATGTAGGCGGTGTTTGTAGGACATGAATTTTCATCACATCGTTGGATGATGATTTGAGCTAGAATCAGCAGGGCATCTCCAGCAATTTGGGGGGAGAGGCGCCAAAGTCCACCGAATATGTATATATACATATATATATATATATACATATATAT